AATCCGCTCCGCCTGCTACAGCCCATTCGATCTGTTCCTGGAAAAATGTAGTACACATACATTTGTTTATGATAGATCATGTAAAGTTAATATCAAGATCTGTGTTTATTTTCTCTACTTTTCATTTAATTGTCATTTGCGAAAAGCATAACAACTACAGCTAAATACTCATTGCTGAATTGTGTGTGCTTTAATATTCAAGCGATATATTTAATCGGTCTACGACCAGGTGCAAAATAGGCACATTTCACAAGGTATACATGATTTGAAGTATTAGAACCATAGATATATTTAGAAATAAGTATAACAAAACCTTAAAAATGTTTCGTGTCGTTTCTATTGTTGCTGGGTTGTCGACCTCGTATACACAGGAATTACAGATATTTCCCGCCATGAGAGTTCCTGTGTCGTCAGCTACTTGGCGTGCGATTTTCAAGGCGGTAACATTTAAAATTTCCAGGTCTCTTTCACGTCCGATGTGTCTAAGCTTTTCACGATGTCCATAGTACTATATGTGTAGATAATAAATTATTATTTATTTTTCATTCATGGTATGGATAGTAAAAAACCTGCAGTTGTTTCAATGTTTACTCACTGAGAATGTTTTGTTTTCTTAAGGATTGCTTTTTATTGAGTCTATCTGTGATTTTTATCATGAAATGATTGGGTATGAATATATATAATAGCTTACCTATTTTCTTTACTTTTGGATATTTTTCAGCAAACTCATTCCATTAGACAAGATAGAATAGGAAACATTAAAGGCAAATTAGCATTCGAATTAGTTGTTTGCAGGTATTTAACAAAAGGGCTTGAAACACCTTTACAGATTTTTTTTCTTTCAAATATCTGATACCGTAAAAGCTAACACGACGTCACTTCCGGCATGGACAAATTCCTCGTGCAACTCTTTGACTTTTTCAGGATGTTCTAAGACGACTTCTGGTACATAGCTTCCGGCTTTCAAGTAACCTCTTCTCTCAAATTCAAAAAGATATCCTTCTGCTACGATCACATTCTCCCCTGACCGCAGCCTCTCTAATAATCCTAAAAAGTAAAAAAGGGACAGGCACTTTCTGATTTATAAACTATTCGATTGTTTAAACTTGATTACTGTGGCAATTTTAGAATAAGTACAGAGTTCATATCAATTAGGATCCGTGCGTCAATGCACACTATATGTCGTTATGTAGATTCTATGTGTGGTTTGAGGACATTTGATGTCAGTGTGAATGTGTGCAGAATTTGAGAAAGGATGCAGCGAAGATTTATGTGTATTATATAGATGTCATTGCAATAGAATGAATGGTAGGTAAAGCTTGAGAATACACAAGGTCTGGTTTAATAGTTATAATGGGAGGGTGTGTTAGAGTATCCTTGAAAACGAACCTTGCAGACACATGTTAAATGAGCAAATGAGCAAAAACATCAACAGAAAAACAGAATACTGTAACACACAACGGACATAACATTGACACGTTGTACGTATTAAAAATATGATTAAAGTTTACATCACTTTCCAAGAACCATCAACAATTAGTTATTGAAAAAATATAAACAAGACAATATTCGTCGCCTTTACAGATATACAGCGACATAACAGACTCGCCTGTAAGCAGATATATACAGCGACATAACAGACTCGCCAGTCGCCTGTAAGCAGACATATACATCGACTTAATCCTGTGCTTTTCAGAATGGTCGTGCTTCAGAGAGTAATGTTTTTGAGCTAATGACCCTTCATGGTTGTCGTCGTTGGAACTTTATATTCATACTCATACTCAGGTTATGTTCAGTTACGCATACGGCACACATATCATATTGACAAAGATAAAATCGTTTTGTGACTACATATAATGTTACAAAAAACCCTCTGAAGTTATCATTGTACGACAGAATCGGTTTTAAACGAATCTGTTTATAAATGATTATTAATGTGTAGAGAAATACATCCCCGTGTACAATGTATACCGTGTTGTTGATGTAATAATCGGATAAAATAGAAGTAAATACAAGCTAAATGTATCCATGTATACCCTGGGGATATGTAACATGATACAAGAAACCCTGTTCCTGTATCTAAACTTAAAAAGAAAAATACCCTAACATATCTCAGTGCAGTCACTTGAAAACATGACGTCAATCAAATGTCTAGCGTTAAATCAGTTAATGAGATCTGACTGGAATGAACATTTCATCTTAAGGGAGTTTATTGCCCAAATGGGGTCTTATGGGTCCGTTTCTTCCCATAGAAACAAATACCATTAAAGGTGTAAATCCAAACGAAATATCTACTGAATTTTTGGAGTAAAAGCATTTGAAAAATAAATGAATGAATAGAAAAATAAATATCAATTTTAAAGAAGCGTGATAAAAACTATTGGCCTTGTATCAAAAATTGTAAGCTTAAGTCCAGAAATCAATAAAGATATGATATAAATATCCTTTCATGCGAACAACACACTCAGATTGATATTAGTAATTGCAATTGCAAATTTATCAGAATGCCAATTTCTAGATAGTAGAAATCCATATATAACAAAGGACTTACCTTTTGCGGCCATTTCTTGTAAATTAAACAGACAGGTGCTTTATATCTATCTAGGTCAGGCGTAAATGTCAAGGTTAAGTAGTTTGTATTATCAAAGCTAAGGCCTTATCTGTGCTACAGGTAGTAAATGGTGCAATCTTTTACCACAAATAGTAAATGTATGATGGAAATAAAGTTAAAGTATTTCTCAAAAATGAAAAATATAATGCTGTTAAGATATAACTAGAAATCATTGGTGGTGACGTCAGAATACAAAGAGCGTGTTCATGAGATGTTTTAAACGCATGGTATTGAGGCTATTTTGTCTGGTGAGGTATATATGTGTG